TAAATGTTGATGGAGGAAGGTCATTGGTTAAATAAAAAGAAGCTGCTTGGCCCTCATTGGTTAGAAGATAGGTGGGAGGAGTAAACAGAACAGAACAGAATGCTGGGAGGAAGAGGAAGTGAGCTCAGACTCCACAGCTCTCCTCTCAGGAGCAGACGCCTTAGAGAGACGCTATGCTCCCCGCTCCAGGGAAGATGCACGCGATGAAGCTCCGACCCAGGATGGACTTAGGCTAGAATCTTCCCGGTAAGACCGGTGCTCACTAAGACCGGTGCTCACAGATTATTAGAGATGGGTTGATCGGGATGTGAGAATTAGCCTGTAAGGGCTAGAGCTAAAGGGCCAAGTAGTGTTTAAAGGAATACAGTTAGTGTGTTGTTATTTCGGAGCATAAGCTAGCCATGTGGGCGGCCAGGGTGCCGGGGACACAGCCCGGCCGCTCATATTACTACAAATGGTGCCCGACGTGATGGACTAAACCCACTTTAAAAACCTGAGAAGGCTTTAAAATAAGGGAGAGAGTTTAACACAGATTTTTGCTGTTTGTTGGTGGCGTGCTGTAGAGAGATTTCCTGATTCGGCAACAGCAGCAGAAAAAAACGCTGTGTCATTTTAAAGCGCAGCTTCTTGGGGCTGTGCTGCCAGCGTAAACTCTGGCTTTAAAGCATTTGTGGCACTCTGCTTGCTAGAGGCAAGCAAGCTTCTCTCATGTAAGAGAAGCTTCCTGACTCAGCTTTAGCTGCAAAACCCTGCGGCTCATTAAGAGGTCCTGCCACGAAACACTTAAATGGTGTTGACGAAAAGCTGAACGCATGCTTTTCAGTTTTCAGCAGCAGCAGGGAAAAACCTGTGTTGTTTTAAAATGCTGGCTTTCTGGGCCATCCTGCCAGGGCAAACTCTGACTGTTTGAGGCAGGAGGGCCGGCTACCGAGAGAGGACTTGAGTGTTGTCTGTTGTAGCTCACTTGCTGGCAGGGACCTTGAAATGCCATAGAGTTGTGGCAATAAACATGGCTACAGCCTGTATATCCACCATGAGGCTGGAAAGCTAAGGAATGGACTGGATCTAGCTGGCAAAGCCACGGCTTTAGTCCAACTGAGATTGCTTGGTAAATTAAAGATTCATGTGGTCAGAAAAAGAGAGATATACAGTAAAGAGAGATTCAAAGACAGAGAAAATTTCTGAATGGTTTAAAGTGTGTTAAAAATATATGCAGACTAAAAGTTGAAGTTCTTAAAGTAAAAAACAAAAAAAGGAAGAGAGTACACACCTTTAATCCCAACACTTGAAAGGCAGAGGGAGATTGACCTCTGTGACTTCAAGGTGTGGTAGCACACGCCTTTAATCCCAGTGCCTAGAAGGCAGAGACAAACAGATCTCTGTGAGTTCAAGGTGTAGTAGTTTACACCTTTAATCCCAATGCCTGGGAGGCAGAGACAGGCGGATCTCTGAGAGTTTAAGGACAGCCTGGTCTACAGAGTTATTCCAGGTCAAAGATATACAGAGAATATAAAATAGAAGTAAAAAGAAATGAAATAGAGATTAAAATAAAGCCGCACGATGATGGAAAATACACAGAGACTTTTGATACTGTATGCTATTATGCTCTCTTTGAATTGTTTGAATGCTGAGGAAAGAGCAAAAACTACTAAAAGATACTTGTTTATAAATGCTGCTGAACTAATCCAACATAGATATTTTGAAAATGCTTTGAATTTGAAATTTGGATCTAAGGACATGATGTTTTGGAAAGGAGTTTCTTACTTTGTTTTCACAGAGGATGAGACCTCGTTCATTTCTTCTATTCTGATTTGGTATGATGGACCACGCCCTCCTGAAGGGTTGGTGTGAACACCTTCAGAAAATTGCTTCGCTCAACTGCCAACTGAGATGAAACTAGCACACAGGTTATACCATGAAAGACCTAATTAATGACGCCCCCATTCAGCAGGAAGCAGTTTGGAGAGAAAAAACTGCGCCCATGATCCCAAATATGGTTTATAAACGTTCTTTTACATTTAAAGGGGGATATGATATAGATATGAATAATTTGCATTAGTATAGATTTTGCTTTATTGATAGAGATTTAAGGTCAATTTTGTTATATGTATAAGTGTTTCTGATTTTGATTAAGGTATTGTGATTGTGTAGTTCATTTAAATATGTACTGTATAATTAAGAAATATAGGTTGTTAATGGATAATCATCGATAATAGTAAAGCTTGTAGTCATGTTAGTTAGATTTTCTAGATATATAGAGATATATTTTAGATAGACATTCTTCATGTCTTTCAAAGATTACAGAATAGGACATTTAATGTTTTAATAATTTAGGGCTTTTCATGACAATGAGACACGTCTGCTCCTGGCAGCACCAATTTACTTCAAGAAGAAGATGGGCATCGAAGAGGTACCTTATGGAGTTTGATAGCCATTTGGGCAAGAAACTGCTCTTGCCTGGACTATTGCATAAACTGGACACAGAGAACCCACAGAGAGAGGACTACTGAACTTGCCTAAGGTGAGATGATCTTTCGGGGTTCCTGATTCATGAAAGAGTCTGCGAGACATTCTGCAGGACACAACAGATAGTGACTGAACTGACTTTGAATTTTCCTGCTTTATGGAAATGTCTGCTGGATACCATGGGCCTGAAGGCTGAAGATGGATGCCCCAACGGTACAGAGGAATTTTGGGTGACTGTCCAGGCAGCGAGATGTCTCTGTCATTTCTAGAGTTTTAAAAGTTGCTTTTTTCTTGTTTGCTTAGGTAGTATTGTATCTTTCTGGAGTCTTTGATGAAGTTAAGAATAGTTAGTTATAGTTTTCCTTAGTTATGATAAAGATTATTGTAACTTTTACTTGATAACTGTTTTGTTATATGTAATTTTGCTATGTTAAAGTTAAAGCCTTTTTTTTTTGTTTAAACCAAAAAAGGGGAAATGATGGAGGAAGGTCATTGGTTAAATAAAAAGAAACTGCTTGGCCCTCATTGGTTAGAAGATAGGTGGGAGGAGTAAACAGAACAGAACGCTGGGAGGAAGAGGAAGTGAGCTCAGACTCCACAGCTCTCCTCTCGAGAGCAGACACCTTAGAGAGACGCCATGCTCCCCGCTCCAGGGAAGATGCATGCGATGAAGCTCCGACCCAGGATGGACTTAGGCTAGAATCTTCCCGGTAAGACCGGTGCTCACTAAGACGGGTGCTCACAGATTATTAGAGATGGGTTGATCGGGATGTGAGAATTAGCCTGTAAGGGCTAGAGCTAAAGGGCCAAGCAGTGTTTAAATGAATACAGTTTGTGTGTTGTTATTTCGGAGCATAAGCTAGCCAGGCTGCCGGGGTGCTGGGGATGCAGCCCTGCCACCCCTTATTACTACAAAATGTAATTCTGAGAGACCTGCTTTTATATGTTTCTTGGCCTTTTTCCTTTGCAGCTCTTAATATTCTTTCTTTACTCTGTATGTTTGGTGTTTTGATTATTATATGGCAAGGGGACTTTTTTTATCTAGTCTATTTGGTGTTTTGTAAGCTTCTTGTATCTTCATATGCACATCTTTTTTTATGTTGGGAAAGTTTTCTTCTATGATTTTGTTGAATATATTTTCTGTGCTTTTGAGTTGGACTTCTTGTTCTTCTATTCCTATTATTCTTAGGTTTGATCTTTTAGGTATCCCTTATTTCTTGGATATTTTGTGTTAAGCTATTGTTAGAATTAATGTTTTCTTTGACTGATGAGTCTATTTCCTCTATTGTATCTTCAGCGCTTGAGATGCCATCTCTTGTGTTCTGCTGTTTATGCTTGCATTTGTGGTTCCTGATCATTTTCTCATAATTTCTGTTTCTATAATTCCCTCAGTTTGTGTTTTCTTTATTGTCTCTATTTCAGGTTTCAAGTCTTAGATAGTTTCTTTCATCTGTTTGACTGCTTTTCTTGGTTTTCTCTAAGGGATCTGTTGAGTTCTTCCAATTTTTTGTTTGTCTTTTCCTCCATTGCTTTAAGGGAATTTTTCATTTCCTCTTTAAGGGCCTCAAACACTCTCTTAAAGATATTCTTTAGGTCATTTTCTTTTGCTTCATTTATATTTGATTGTTCAAGTCATGCTGTTGTGGGAGCTACTAGTTTTTATTGGTGTTGTGTTGCTCTTTGTGGTGTTGAGTGTGTTCTTACCTTGTCTACCCATCTTTTCCTCTGATTGGTGTAGTTGGGGCTTTGTCTCTGGTGATCAATCTTCCATGTACCAGTGGATTGTAGGCTCAGCTGGTTGCTCCTCATGGTACAGTCAGGGCCAAGGTTCCAGTCTCCCTGGAGGTCACTCAGTGTTCCTGGAGGTCACTCAGCACTCCCAGAGGGCCACTCTGCAATCCTGTGTGTCGTTCTGGCCTCTTTCAGCAGAGGCTGCTTGCTTGGGGCTGCTCCTGCTGAGGTCACTGCTTTGGGCCTGCTCCAGCAGAGGTTGTTGGCTCAGGCCTGTTCCTGTAGATGTCCCTGGCTTGGGCCTGCTCCTGCAGAGGTCCCTCTCTTGGGCCGAGTCCCACAGAGGTCTCTGGCTTGGACCTGCTCCTTTAGCGGTGGCTCACTTGTACCTGCTCCTGTGGAGGTTCTTGCCTCGGGCCTGCTCCAACTGAGGTAGCTGACTCAGGCCTGCACTGGCAAAGGTTGCTGACTCAGGCCTGTTCCCACAGATGTCCCTGGCTTGGACCTGCTCCCTCAGAGGTCCCTGACTGGTGTCTGGTCCCACAGAGGTCTCTGGCTTGGGCCTGCTCCCTCTGCAGTGACTCCCTTATACTTGCTCCCATGGAGGTCACTGCCTCAGGCCTACTACCTGGGAGGTTGCTCATGCCTCTACCTTCTAAAGGTTCTATAACCTCCTCCAAACAACACCACCTACTAGAGACCAAGTGTTCCCCTACTTGAGCCTATGGGGGACATTTCCATTCAAACCAGCCTAAGACATTATCAATCTCCCAGGAAGTCACACAACATATGAGTTCACTTACCTAAGCAATCCAGCTCGATGGAACACATAGAGATCATGCTCCAGGGTGCAATTGTTGAACGGGACGACCTTTACAAAGTTCTGGATGAGGACAAACTCAGGGGTGAGATGGGGCACAGATATCAAGCAGAAGTTCTTTCCCTAAAAAAGATTTTTTTTTAAAGTCAATAGGTTATTTGGAGACTATAAGAAGCCATATATAACTAAGCAAATTCATGCTGTAAAACACTAATAAAAACAGAAGTGAAACAAAGCACAAGTTGAGCTTTTCCACCATTTGGAGAGTCATTAATACAACTCATGGAGCCAAGCAACGAGGAGAAGATGGAGCAGACATCAGCAAAGCTGACTGAGAGCAGAACAAATGACTGTAACAGAAGTAGATTCTTATTGTTGCGGCTGATCTGAGACCCGGCTTCATTATGCAGCCAAACCTAGGCTCTAACTAATCACTCATATCCTCCTGCCTCAGCCTCCCAAGTTCTGGGATTGCAGCTTTAGAGGGATGTGCTACCACATTCAACTCCTAGCACTTGATCTCACTGACTTATTTAATTTCGTAGCTCTGGAGACTGTACCCAGAGCCTGGCATATATTAGGCAAGAACTCTACCGCTGAACCATCTTACCAAGAGCTCTACTGCTGAGCCATTTCACCAAGAACTCTGCCCAGGCTGGCCTTAAACTTTTCTCTGTAGTCCTTGCATATCTTGAATTTACACTCCTCTCTCTTCAGCCCTCTAGGTTTCTGGAGTAAAGGCCTGTGCTAGAAAACCTGGTACAGATTTTTAAACTAATACCATTCGCATTTGGGAATTCGGTTTTACCAGTGAGTAAACGAGACAGCATAGTATCATAACAAGGGCCTTGAACTTAAGAAATGAGATTCATAGAAGCCTTGGCCTCTCCTCTGTGAAATGTGAAATACTCCAGGCTTTCTGCCTTTAAAGCCCTCTGATTATACATAGACCCTGTGTCATAACATCATCCTTTCGAGGTGATAATCTAAAGGAAAGCATGAACCCCAGAAGACACAAGAGGATCAGCAAGTCCTGACAAATGCCATTTTCCTTTCTAGACCTTGCTATCCCAGGCAGCAGCCAGTGGTTACATGTGACCAAGGAGAGTTTGCATTGTAGCTGGTGTGACTGAGAAACTAAAAGCTTAATTTAATATCACTTAATTAATTTAATTTCATTAATTTAAACTTTAAAGACTGGCACCAAATTTCACTTATTGTACAAGTTTTGTGTGTGTGTGTGTGTGTGAGCCATGTCAATCTATCCCCACCAACTCGAATATACGAAGTTTCTTAGCCAACTGCAAATCTCATGAGACCTAAATAGAATTAAGCACTGTGGATGAAAATTCAGTTCTTGTATTGAGGTATGCTGCAATCTAAAAACACTGCACTTCAAGGCTTAGCGTGAGAGGAAGAATATAAAACAGCTCATTAGCAGGGCTGCCATTGATTGCATGCTGCAATGCCGCATCTGAGACATTGAACTGGGCGAAATGTGTTATTAACGGGGGCTTCATTTCTTCCTTTTTACTCTTTGTTCACGCGGGCGACTGGAACACTCACTCCAGCGTCTAAGACTGTACAGCTCCAGGCTGTCTGTGTTCCTCGAAGCCACTTGATCCTGCCCCAGGTCCCCACAGAAGCAGCCTGCTCTTCCCAGAGCTAATTTGTCCCTTTGGGACTTTGCCTCCTCTTGAACCCTGTGAAGGTATTACTTGGGCTAATCCAAGGCCCTCGGGACATTTTGCAGCCCCAAGGAGTGAGTCATTATTTGACCTTATCTTCCTTCTTTCTAGCAAAATAACACAGCTTCTTTCAGAGAGACTTTAGAATCACAATGCTGAGCTACTCAAGCTGAAAATGAGGACTGGGTGCCAAGTCTCGGTGGGCTTCCTCGGGGAGGGGGTGCTGACGATAATGAGTTGCTTCAGCTTGGATTTGAGGGATTAAGGGTGAAGTAATGAAGGTATTTTGTTCCTGTATCCTTATATCCCCAAGTCAAATAGAGTCAAAATGTAAACAGGTCTTCTGCCTATTAAAATCCAGTCTTACTTCTATAATGTGGATGTAAAAACAAGAATGAAGCTCAGTGAAATGTCTTTAAGGCATCTTTGAGGGAACCAGCTTTGAACATTCTTTGTTTGGGTTAATCCACATAGTTTTATGAGCTTTGAAAATGCCTTAAAAATCAATTTAAAGAAACCACAGTGGAGAATACATTGCCCTATTCTAAGGTTGTTTGAGTTCTGGAAAAAATGAGAAAATGTGGGAGTGTCATATATCAATCTGTTGATTTCATTGGTTAAGTAATAAACAAACTGCTTGGGCTCATAGCTTAGAACATAGGTGGGTGGAGTAAACAGAACAGAATGCTGGGAGAAAGAGGAAGTGAGGTAAGACGCCTCAGAGAGAGGCGCCATGCCCCGCTCCCGGGCAGACACACGCGATGAAGCTCCGACCCAGGATGGACGTAGGCTAGAATCTTCCCGGTAAGACCAGTGCTCACAGATTATTAGAGATGGGTTGATCGGTATATCAGAATTAGCCTGTAAGGGCTAGAGCTAAAGGGCCAAGCAGTGTTTAAATGAATACAGTTTGTGTGTTGTTATTTCAGAGCATCAGCTAGCCATGTGGGCAGCCGGGGTGCTGGGGACGCAGCCCCGCCGCTCTTATTACTACAAGAAAGTAAAATCTAGTATCACATAATAATTACAATATACTTATTTTTGGCCTCAATGTTACAAGTAGAAAGGACACACAAAACAACAGATGCTCTGCCTGCAGTCTGCCACTGAAGAGTCAACTTGTACATAGAACCGTCACAGCGAAACATCAGCAAGGTCCTTCCAAAGACCTACTGCTTCCCTTGACTGTTGTCCTTCTCCGCTTCCTTTCCTTCCAATGATAAATTGTTGCATAGGGATACCCCAGACAACAGTGGGACCATGGAGAGGCTCAGAGTCCCTAAGATGGAGGGGTATGTCTGCACTTTGACCTCACACTCAGTGCCCAACATGGGCTGAGCTCCTTCTACATGCCAGCCACCACGTTAGGCCCCAGGAATAACCAGCGAAGAGAAGCCAAGCTGGAAATCTACCACAAGTTTCCTCTTTTCCACCTGCCACAAAACAATGTATTGATGCCAGGATAGTCTGAGCCAATGTAAACCAGAAAGAAATTCAACAATCCAAGGTACTAAAGAGTCCTAACTGCTGGCATTTTCATATATGACCATGAATTATTTAATCCCAATAAACCACTGGAATACTGTCTCTAAAAGAAACGACCGCACAGCAGATACGTTACTGAAAAAAAATGACAATATTTTCTATTTTTAAGGGTTTATGACATGCCACTTGACCATCTTTTCAGAACAGGGGAGCAATTCAAGCCTCAACATTCACAGCATTTGAAATGTCTGTACAATAAATATTCTGCCTTTCTATGACTTAACTACAAAACCAATTATATTACTCAAAATTCAGCATATACTCACAGGAAAAAGACTGAAAACAAAACTCATAAAATCCAGGGACCTGTAAACAAGAAAGTGAACAATGTTACTAGACTGCAAATAAATGTAGCATCATGAGACAGTTCATTATGTGCCCTCCCACCCTCCCCACCCCTCTCAACCCCCACCTCCCCAACCCCCCATTCTCACCCCTCCCACCCCCAGCTTTCAGCAGTTAGCCAGCCAGCAGTGTCTAATCGCTTGCATACACCTGCACCATAGGCTTCATATGGCAGCAACGAGGTATCTTTGGACACTCTTCACAGTGACCAATAATATCTGCAATTCAAAGCCAATACTAATAATGGCCAGTCTATGGACGTGATCTTCCCCTTTCTTCTCGGAAGAGTTAAGGAGAGACATGGCTGTGGGATAGGCTAGTCTGATCTTTTTCACTTTTATATGCAGAAATTTTTCTAAATAGCCACATTTGTATTTTCATAGGCAAATTATAAGGTATCATCAAACTAAATCAAAAGTAACTATCTAGGCAAAATTTTATCTAAAAACACAGAGAAAAGAAACATAAAACAAATATAGAAGGTCATTCCAGGCTCTTTGGTCTACACTGTAATTAAAATAGAAAGATTTCTCTTCAACCTCCACAATCTCCATAAAAGTTGAACATCTAATATTAAAAAAAAAACTTCTAGAGGCTAAAAGTGGGGGGTTATGTTTAAATGTACCCCCTAAAAAGGAAATGACCAGCACTGTTTTTGGTTATCTCTGAGGTACTGGAGAACCTTCTGCTCTATTAAAATGGGCGCGTATTTTCCTCTTTAAAACAGCTTGTGGGTAAAGTTGTAATAGGCGATTGCTGAAGGAGATGCTAAGTTCAGGCATCATGCAGCAGTTCCTATTCAGCCTGAGAAAGGGGGCCATAAGTGTAGAACACGTAGGTGTTCCTAAGGGAAAGGGAGTAGGAGCCATGACTGACAGACATCACGCCTCCTTCTTCCAAAAGCTTTCCTGAATTGCAGGGTGTCTCTTTTATGCCCTACATTTTGGCTTGTCTCCTGCTCCTGGTTAAGGATGGGGCACAAAGTAACAGACTGAGCGCACACCGAAGTACGACTCGGTGACCATCACCGGCTCCGGAATGAGCACTGAGTCAACCAGGCCTCTTGAAACTTTAGAGGGAAATCTCGGCTACCAACCAGAGAAACGCAGACTGTTTAGAATGGAAACAATTCGTGGCTACCCAGTAGGCATTTTCAGAACTTTAATTGTGCTACAGGTGAAACAGAACTGGCCAGAGATTTTTGGCCCGTTCTGTAGGTCTTATCTAGATTTTACAAACTAGAATCTCTGTATGGTGTAGAGAGAGCGGCGTGGTATCTCAGCGGCTATTGGCTGAAGGAGCGGAAGGAGCTCCAGCAACAGTATGGGGTCCAAGAATCTGTTGTTTTAAGGTCCCCAGAAGATTAGGATATGGGGTCTGGTTTAACTACCGCATACTCTGTAAAATTGTTACCTAAGAAGTGCTTAGCACAACAGACAAATAGAAGAGATCAGCACTTGCCTTGCCTCGTACTTCTCATCGATACAAAAGAGCTGAATGCAAAACGCAGAGGATTCTCCCAGGTAGATGGGGCGGAAGTGGGAGGATTCCTCGGGGAACAGGAAGGATGGCAGGGAGCTCTCACTGCTCAAAGTGAGGTCCTCATCACCCACGTTGGAGAGCACGCTTAACTTCTGTTCCACATCCTAGAGCCAGGAGAGAGGGGCAAGTTGGGGGGAACCACGGAGCTTTTAACGGGCTAGTGGCTGCACTGTCTCACCATGTCCTGCTCCAACGATGCCTGTGAGACTGTCTCCTCAGAAACAAACCATCCTGCAAAGGTCTATCTGGAGACCTTATAGTGACATTCAAAGTGCACAGTGTGATACAAACAAGTTCTCACACAAAGGCCAGAAAAACAGATGTTTCCATTGTTCTACTAGGGAGAGATCCGTGTGGTAGTGTTGTGTTGTACACATTAACACCATCAGCAATGGGTCTCATCAACATTTTGTGGCACTAGAATTTCTGGACCTTGAAAATGATCAGGTGATTCTGGGAATGAGACTGGAGCCCAGAAAGGTCCACTTGAGCTCAGCCACCAGGGAAGTTAACACTGGGTACATCCACACTGATTTGGGGGTGAAACCTGATTCATTCAGAGTTCCTTCTGGGAATTTTATTAATCAAAGTAACATAAGCAGAGAGTCAAAATACTAGTAATAAAACTTGGTAAAGAAAACCAGCTGTCCCTTATCCCCCACCCTCCCATCAGGTATTGCTTTTAACCATTTTGTTTCTGAAAAACGGGCTTATGCTGCTATTCTTTAATTTATCAATTTAAATTTTTTTCTTATTAAACACTGAAATGATGGATATATTTAAGTGATTTCCAACATTCCTTCCTGTATACTATCCCCACCGTATAATTAAATTGCATTTCTCGTTATACCAGTATTGACACTGTTATGATATATTGTAGATGACGGAATGCTGATCATGTTATGATATGTTATTACATGTTAGGATGTATTGTTGCCACCATGAACAAGGTCGTCTAACTTAACCCCATTCTCATTTGTGGACTGTATTTTTATTTCCTTGGTTTCTACATTTCTTTCATATTTTGTAAGTTTGGAGAAGTATTGGTCAATCTCAGCAATCGGGTATTTGAAATAATCTATGAAACTCACTGTTACTCTCCCCTGCCTATTCACGTCTTGGAGTTTGTAATGGTTTGGAGAAAAGTGTCCCTCCCCGAGGGTCAGGCATTTGAACACTCGGGGCACACTTGAAGATGCTATTTCTGAAGGTGTAGGAAGTGTGACCTTGTTGGAGGAAATGTGTCCCTGGGGGGCGGGCTTTGAGAGCACATCGCCTTGCCCTGCTTCCAGCTAATCCTCACCATCTAATGCTCTCTGGTAAAGATGTGATCTCTCAGCTTCCCGCTGCTACTGCCACCGCTTCCACTTCCTGCTCTGCCTCCCCACCATGACCGACCTTGAGCCGTCTGGAAACTGTAAGCCCAAATAAAATCTTTTGGTCACAGTGTTTTATCAAAATAACAGAAAAGTTACTAATACAGAGGCTGCAGAGATGACTCAGAGGTTAAGAGCACTGGCTGCTCTTCCAGAGGTCCTGAGTTCAAATCCCAACAAACACATGGTGGCTCACAACCATCTGTAATGAGATCTTGTGCCCTCTTCTGGCCTGCAGGCATACATGCAGACAGAACACTGTAGACATAATAAATAAATCTTTAAAAAAAATAATACAAAACTCTCCCAGCCTACAGTTCCAACCTGCAGGAGAGACTGGGGGAAGAAAGCATTGGCCCTCAAGAAGTGTGTCTGAATCCCCAGAACCTGAGAACATGTACCTTACAGCGACAGGGGCTTAGCAGATATCACTAAATTGAGGATTTTGAGAAGGATCCTGGTTTACTTAAATGGATATGATAAAATGTCGAGGGAGGCAGTATGCTCAGATGGGGTGAGGAGGTGTACTCTTGTGGCCCTGAAGATACTGGAAGAGGGTAAAAGGCAAGGAATATATGTGCCCTCTAGTCACTGGCAGAGCAAGGAAAAGCATTTCCCCAGATGCCTCAGAAATAACCCCTTACCTCTCCTTAAAGACTCAGTGCCGTGAGACCTGTCTGGGAATTCTGATCTCTAGGCCTCAAAGACAACAGGGACAATTGTTTTAAGCCACCAAGCTGTGGTAATTGATTACAGCAACAAGGGACTACTCCAACAAACACCTCGTTTCTGGTTTGGAGGAGTGGGTGGGGTTCCTCCATCTGAAGTGGTGAATGTCATTTTCTCCATTCTCAGTCCCTCACCATCAGACAACTTTGTAGAGTGTTTTCTTGGTTTCTCCGGGGAATGCTCACCGGTCATGTCTCCTGGAATATGGTTTGTCAGCTATGTAGAGGGTGCAGGGAGTTTGGGGTGCAGGCTACTCCTTACCAGGCTGCCAAACAGACCTCTGTGCTCAGCAGTGCTGCTTACCTCCCTCAGCGGAACCCCAAGCCCCGGGGGCGAGCCCCTACACTTTTCCTGGCCTCCTCTCGGACTTCTTTCCCCTTTCTCAGTTCTGCTAAGCCAGTGCAAACTCCTTCATCGATTTTCTTGATTCTAAATATTTTTTAAGTGCTTATCTTCCAATAATTCCTTTCCATCCTGTTGTCTTTGTGGATTTGTGCCCTTTTCACTTCTTCACGGTCATCTCAGTGGATTTTGGGTTTTTTGTTTTTTTTTCTGGAAGGGTCAGGAGATAAACATGGGAAATCGATCTTCCTTGCTTACCGACTTACCTAGGGTCCTCAGGGGGTCTAAGGGTTCTGGTCCTCCCATCCCGTTCCATCCATGTCTATAAAGTAGTGGCCTCCCTCTTAGAAATATTAGAGAGAAAACTGTCTCCTCCCACTGAACTGTCACTCTCTTGCCTGGGGACTAGCAATGGCCTAGGGTTAGTGAGCATCTCAGTGCGGGTCCTCAGAGACAAACCCAAGCTCTGGGTCTCTGCAGCTGTCACGAAGCTCTGGGAGGAGAGAGAGGAAGTGAGGCAAGAATGCGACGGTCACCAATGCAGGCTTTTCCAGGAGTGGCTTTCCACTATGGGCTCCGTGCTGTACACTCTCTGCCTCAGAGGTACAGGGGCTGGGTGTTGATTCCCAGTCACTCTCCTCACTGGCTCCTGGCTGTTCCCTCAAGAGTGGGAGCTAGGCACCTTTAGCCCTCTTCCTTGGGGTGCTGAGGGACATTAGACAACAGAGGACAGAGAGCGGGGGTCCAGGAGCAACTGCGAATGTGGACCTGTCCCCATACAGTGCCATCTGTCTGACAGCATATCCTGCTCGCCCAGCCCCACTCTTCCCTGTCTCCACCCCCACCTGCAGACAGCCTGGCCAGACAAACCTAGAGATCATTAGTGCTCTAGTTAGAGCCCTGATCTCCAGCTCAGGGCTGGCCATCAGAAAGTGCCACCCTCCCTCCTAGCAAATTCCTTGATTGGTCTGGCCCTGGGGGTTAGACCCCAGGGGTCTGGCCTTCTGACAGAGCTCCAATGTGTGGGAGCAGCATTCAGTGTTTGGCCCATCATGCATCTGCTAATTCTCACGGCCTAGGCCTCCCTCAGAGACACACAAGCTTCTAGAGGCAGCGGAGTGCAGCAGACTGTCACCAGAGGCCCTCTGGAATTGGGGAGAGGTTTGGCCTTGGTCTTGTCACTGGGACAGAAAGGGCAGATCATGTGAATCTCCTACTCAAGAAACGATAATGCCTTCCTCTGCTCCTTAGGTCCAAATCCTGAGGAGGACCACAGGACATTGGGATCTCGCAACTCCCCAGTTTGTGAACAAGAAACAGAAGACACAAGAAGGCACGAGTGGACCCCATCTGACAAAGAAACAGAAGACACAAGAAGACACGAGTGGACCCCATCTGACAAAGAAACGGTGCTAAGGTGTAAGTCAGATGAAGAAAAGTAACAAAGGAAGATGCCCTAGGGATTGCCAAAGAAGATGCTACCAAGTAAACCTTGGTTAACCAAATGAAGCTTGACTTGAACCTGCAACAAGAGGGAAACTTTACAGGAACCTAAGCAGTACATAAGTGCACATACTTACAGTGGATGAACCTGGGCATGTGTGTGCATATATGAATCTGCATATATCACATGGTATGTACTTGTGTGTATATGGGAAATGAACAGCACGGGGGGGGGGGTTGCTCTATTAAGCATTTTAGCTCTCCAAAGCTTCTCTTTGGGCACAGAAGAAGAAAAAGATGTTTACTAAAATTGTTACAAATAATTGAAACACAAAGTATAACTTGCAGTCTGAGCTGTGCAGGGGAGTATGGGATTAGGGATTAATTACAGCGGGGTCCAGTTACCCAAAGCTAATCCCGAGGACAACCGTGGTTATGCCTTTGGGAGAGGCAGCGGAGGGCTAGAGGAGGATAGGGCACACGAAGGCTGAAGGGAAAGGAGGGAAGGCAGAGGCCCTGTGCACATACAAACCTTACCTGCACTTCATCAGAGTGTCTACTGATGTCCCCTGACAGTAAATCCCCAGACGAAGAAGATTCTTCATCTTTCTCCTGCAAAAGACCACGAGAAGACATAAGAATCAACCAACCCATGATGGTCGGAACCCAAATTCTGCAACGAATCGCCAGTGTTCAGACCTCGGGGCCTCTGCTAATGGCTAGGAGACACGAGAAAGTGATGGAGCCTCAGTTCCCTCATCCCGCATCCACCTCCAAGACTTTTTTAAAAGGAGAGAGGGAGGAGGTAGATGGCAGACTGATTGGTGTTTAGGACCGTGCAAGCACCTCCTAATTCTCTCTAGATGTTAGTTGTGACACCATTATTCTGTGTAACTTGAGAGCTTCACCAAGTTTTTTTAAAAATCTGTTTTATTAAAGTATAACACACAATAAACTGCATTCATTTAAAATATGCTTTTTGAGAAGTTTTGACTTGTGTATATACCTATACAAAGATCACCCTAGTTTAAACGATGAACATATACCTCACTCTCGTAAGTGTTTGCATTTCTCTGTGCCCACAGATCCCACTGCTTTCAGTTCTGGTCCAGGCAAACACTAATCTCTTCTTCATCACCAGATTCTTGGAATCGAGGGTATGCTTTTACTGGGAGAGGGGTTGACTTCTATTTCTTTTGACATTAAAAATTAAATCATTCACATTCTCAAGCACCCGGGCAATTTATTCCCTCTTGTTGCTAAGTATCGCCCGTGTGTGAATGAACCAAAATTCCTGCATATCTTCATCAACATTTAGAATGCTGAATTTTTAAATTTTTGATCATCCTAATAATGCATGGTTGTGCCTGATTATCGTTTTAATGTGCATTTCCCTAATGACTGAGGAAGTTGAATGTCATTTCATTTAGACATTTTCTTCTGAGAAGTGTTCACTCCAATTCCATATTCATTTCTATTAGGATGTTTTGTTTCACTTATGCTGACCTTGATGCCAGTACCATGATACCTAAATACAAGAATTTTAAAATATATCTTGAATCCACTCAGTTTCAATTCTACAACTTTGTTGTAAATGATCCTGACTGCCACGGGTCCTTTGTCTTTCCATATGAATTTTCTGTTTTAATTTCTAAAGTATTTATTCCTGCTAAATTTTAACTAGGGTCTTGCTGGATCTACAGAGGAATTTGGGAAACTGACATCTTGACAAACATCAAGTTTTCATATCTGTGCATACAGGATATCTCACAGCTTTATTTCTCTTTTCAGAAAGGTTTAGCAGCTGCAGTGCATAGGTCTTAAACTATTTCCTGGAGTTTTACTATTCTAAATGGTATGCGTTTCTATTTCTGTTTGTGTGCTGCTGTTATAGGAAGATATTTAAATAACATCTGTAAGAGCTCATTTTCAGTGTCAGCTAGGAGGCTGGAGATGGGTCCTGTACGTCTGTGAAGGCATTTTGAGAGAAAATAAGAGAAAGAACCCTGAAAAATGTGGGTGGCATGATCCCATGGGTTGGGTGTCCAAACACTATAAAATGAGAACACCAGTAGAGTGGACCTTTGACTTTTCACTGCTCCCCATCATCTCTGTCACATATCCCTGCGGCATTGATGCTCTGCCTCTTCACAGGCCCAGAAACATGGAGCCCGGTGACTGTGGACGGAGCCCTCTGAGATCATGAGCTGAGACAATTCATTCCTCTCATTAGCTGTTCCTGTCAGTACGGGTCACAACAGCAAGAAATGCAACTCATGCAAGACAAAGTGACATTTATGCATCAAGGTGTGAACAGTTTTGAAATTTGCTTAAATATGTACTAGTGCTGTAGCTACTTTGTGCATTTCCTGCATAAAGGGTCAGAACAAAATGCAGTTTTCATTTTCCTTAAAATACCAATTCTTTTCTCTTTTTCATAGTTTTGTACACTGGCTTAGCCCATCAGTACCACATTTAATTGAAGTGGTAAGAGAACAAAGTCAGAGAGAGAGAGAGAGAGAATCCATCCATAACCATTAAGTAACAAGCTAACTTTTTTCAAATGTACTTTATCAAATTAAATTCCCTATTATACCTAATTTTCTAAAAGTACTTATGGGGAATGGATGCTAAATTTTCTAATTCCTTTTCTGGATTTATGAAGAAATTGTGTTTTTATTTGCTAATATAATAAAATACAATGATGGTTTTCATGTTTAGAGAGTCTTATATTTCCAAACAGACACCTAAGAATAATCCTTTTTAAAAATATTGTCTTGGTCTGTTAAATTTCTTTTTGTTTGTTTGTTTGTTTGTTTGAGACAGTATCTCAAGCAGCCCAGGCTAGCCTAAAACTCTCTATACATCCCAAGCTTGTTTTGAACTTCTGAGTCCACTCCTAAGTGCTTGGATTACATCCATGCACTACCATGGTTGACCACTTGTGTAGACAGAGGCTGCTCATTCATTTCCTGGCTGCCCAGACCCCAAATAATCATACGGAAACTGTATTAATTACAACACTGCTTGGCCCATTAGCTTAGGCTTCTTATTAACACTCTTACATCTAAAATTAACCCAGTTCTATTATTTTATATTTTACCACGAGACTCGTGGTTTACTGGTACCAGCGCATGGGCATCTTCTCCTCTGGGGCATGCTATCTCTCTGACTCCGCCTACCCTTTCGTCCTCTATCTGCTTGGAATTCCCACCTTGCCCTATTCTGCACTGCAATAGACCCAAAGCCGCTTCTTTATTAACCAGTGGTAATCACAGCATACAGAGTGGAAACCTACATCACACTTGGACCCTATCCTTCAATAATGAAAACTTTATAACTTTACTTGTCCTGTTTTGGCCTTTCTGTCTTCAGAGGGAAGACCACCAGACACATCTAGTCAACAATCTTGTCATTGTTTCTTCGGGGGTTTTGTTTGTTTTTTTTTTTTTTTTTTTTGTCCCAATCTCTTTTTTCTTCTCTGTAGACTACGGTTTAACATATATTAGGTCACTCTGTCAGAGTTCATTAATATTTAAAAAAAGAACAATAAAAAAAAAACCCTTTTCAAGGTGCTTGTCACCAAGGCTAACAACCTAAATTCAATCCCCAGGACCCACATGGTAGAAGGAGAGAACTGACTCCCTGAAGTTATATTTTTAGATTCCCCATTCTCATTGTAACACAGAGAGTATGAAATAAAACCTTTTGTAAAATGTCTCACTTCTCTATGCCTCAAATTCACCAATCTTTTCTCCCACGATATCTAATCTGCTGTCAATCCTTCTGATGCACCTCTCAATTTCTGCGATGCACATACAGTGTGGTTTTAGCTCTAGAATCTGTGGTGGATCATTTTAGTATCTCCTGTGTCTCTCTTTAACTTTGAGAGCAAATAGAATGTAGTAGAACTCATTTTTTTAGAGAGCATGGAGTTGGGAGATGATGGGAAGGGAGGAGGACCTGAAACTAACTGGGGTATGTAAATGTGATCAACATACCCTGAGTATGTATGAAACTCTCAAGGAACATATTAATAAAATCCTTGCTTTGTTTGCTATTTCTACCATCCACTTTAGTTTGAGGTTGATTAATGGATTTAGCTCTGTTTGAGGTGCTATATATGATCCTAGGGTTTGAGTACATGGTAATTTTTAACTGGATTCTAAACACTGTGAATACATCTGTATTCTTACAAATATTCTCGGACTTTGGAAAGTTACTTGGAAAGTTTGACCCTTTTGATTCTTGAATCATGAGAGAGACCTGGAATGGTTCTTCCTCTAGAGAGTTAGAACATTCTCATTATGGAGCCAAGACACACATGTGTCCTTTCCCTGGGCCTTGTCAAGTACACTGTTTTCTAGTTTGCTGGGCACAGACACCATTTCCAGCCTGTAAACCTGTGAGTACTGTTGGCCCTAATCCCCTGGGAAGTGCACTGCCCATGTCTGACCTCAGCACACGCAGCATGCTCTGACCAATGCTCAGCTGAAGACCAAACAGCATCCTTTGCATACAGATGACAGAGCTCAGTCTCTGCACAACTCTCTCCTCTCCGCTGCTCTATCCTTCAAACTCTAGACTCCACGGACGCGCTGATCTATCTGTCTTTGTGGATATTTGCCTGATTTTCACGTGCTGTGAGGTAGACAATCACAGACTGAGTCACCTTGTTTCCCATCTCAATGATGTTAGGATGCTTTGCTATCGTAGAGAGAGCACTATCTTGAGAATGCTTGTTTTGTATATTTCAGATCTTTTTTTTTTTTTTGGTTGTTGTTGGAGAGTAAATGTGATGTCTCCTGCAGCAGCACACAAAGTGTTCCATTTTAGACACAATGTCTAAAGGTCTAAATGCTTCTCATGAGTCTCATTTCTCTCCATTACCCGGACCCTCCAATCTTTTTTGAAAGGGTCCACTCTCTTTTTGGCCTTGACTTCTTGCTGTCTCCCATCCTATTCTCCATGCCTTTCACTAAGAGCCTCTTCTCTTTCCATCACATACAGCCTCTTGCAGACTGGGACTATGCTCGAGTATGGGGGTTCCCTCAGCACTTACTGGGGTACCTGACCATTGTGATCACTAGATCTATGTGGATAAAACTGTGCTTGAAACATGACACCCAATTATTACACACTGAGCCTTTTGTGGCTTGGGGCAACCAGCGAGCATTCTTCCAAAGAGAATGAAAATTTCCACAACATTAAAATTGGGGAAGAGAGTCCAGGGGGACCTAGTGCTAAGCCTCAGGTCCTCCTTCCTTCTGTTCCCCAAGATTACTCTGTGTGTGTGTGTTGACTGATTGACAAGGGGTACTTTTTCTTTTCTATGTGAAGCTATATAGGAGGGGGAAAGGAGGCACTTGGGCTTAGGAAGCAATAGTTCTTCAACTACTCCCAATCTTGAAGGAATCCGTCAAGCAGAAGTTGATGGGACTATATAGTCCAGCCCCTAGTGAGTGCTGACAAGGTACCAGGAAATTCACAGTAACCTAAGGGTGAACCCATTCATTTTACCACCTGCCTGACACACTTGTTGAGGTCTTCTAAGGAGGGGACCTGAGTGGCCTAGCTCCTGAGGACAAAAGGACATGCACTGACAGCTTTTCAAATACAGACATTTTTAGACACTGATAACTCAAATCCAGCAGTGGCTGGATTCCTGGGCCCACCCATTAATCCCCATCTATCTCATCACATGACTGGTTCAGGACTCCCTGGGAGTGGATTCATCCCTTGGTTTAGGTCCAGGCAGCAGCACCCCATTTGCTCTGTTATAGCCACACTGGCTGTAAAAGAGTGAAGGAAAGCTCATCCTGAACCCACACAAGTTGAGTGAAGCTGGGTAGCTCTCCAGGAAACAGCGACAGGTGTCTCTGTGGCGTACCAAGGCCCAATCAGGGCAGGAAGGAGCATGCTGGTGCATTTGAGCGTGTGGAGCCTGTGTGTTTCTTTAGCAACTTTGAATTGCCTAATTAGCTTCCAGTGAGCAACTGCACCCGCCTTAGCTTCCTCTAGTGTGGGAACGTGCAGGAGGAAAGGTGGAGGGTGGAGAACTGGCAGTGTCTTGAGTTGGGAACAGAACTTGGCAGTACTGTTCACATGATGCTGGCTTTACAAACAGACAAAATACGAGAGTTACAGGATCATGGAGACTTGCACTAGGCTCCAAAAAGTCACAGAGGCCAGGCACTGTGTGGCAGGGTCAGATTCCCTGAGGATGTCCCTGAGAGATCACTGTATGGAGCTGAGATAAGGATGCTTCGATGGCAAGGAGACATCAGGATCTGGAGACACGAGGGCTGTGGCACACTCAGCCTAAGTTGCAAGCACAGACTGTAGCTGACCTAGAAGGACTATCCTGTGGCTACAGGCAGCAGGGCTGTAAGAGAAGCACCCGGGCTGCTGGAGTTCAGATGATGCCACCCAGAGCCCAAGATGCTGGGCACATACAACAGTATTTGCTGCTTGTCCTGCTGGGTCTGGGTTTTGCGTTGGTCTTCCCTTGCTATGCCCCTATTTCTCTCTTTCATAATGGGAATAGTACCCCATGCTGGCATACGTTATGAGTATGTAATCTTGTAGGGCCTCACAGGTAAGACTGTCTTGAGTCTTCCACGGGAACTGGACTTTGGAACAGGGTCTGGACTGTTATAGACTATGGGGGCTCTAGAAATACATTAAATGAATTTTTTTCTTATGAGATGGCCATGAACCCTTTAGGACAGTGTAATGGCTAAAGGTGACATATTTGGGTATCACGTTGACAAGGTGTAAACTTGTGATCATTAATTAGCATCCACGTAGAAGATACTCCTCTGGGGGTGTCATTAAGGGCATTTCCAGAGAAGTTTCACTGAGAAGGGAAGTCCTACCCAGACATGGATGGCACCATCCCACGGACCGGGGTCCCAGACTGAATTCTGGAGGGGGAGGAAGAGGAAATCAGTCTTCATCTCTCTTTCTCTGCTTCCTGACTTCAGACACAGTCCAATCAGCTGCTTCACGCTCCCACTGAGATACCTTCCCCGCCATGAGAGCCTATGGCCTCCTCATATTGGGAGCCAAAATTAAGTCTCCTTTGCCAAGGTTGCTTTGGTCACATATTCTGTCACGGTTACAAGAAAGGTAACAGCTACGGGACGAAGCTCCATTCGGGCCTGCATTCTAGAGCATGCCCATGAGGCTTGCCCATTGCAAACTTACACAATTTTACCACCTGAGTGTGAGCAGGGCCTTTCTGCAGCAGATGACCGGATTCAGTGGTGACCCTAACTAATTCAGTGTCACAGTAACCAGGTCTATTCCCATCCCTCAGGCCCGGGGAGGTCATGTCCCTTACCTGAGTCTCCAAGACCTCTGAAGAAGCATTTCTTCCTGGTTCCTCAGCTGCTTTCTGAGAACCCTGGCTTTCGCTCTTGGTTTCTGTATCTTTGAAAGAAAAGGTAGAGGAAGGACAGAAAAGAGATGATAAGGTATCCACAGAGCAATAGGAAACTGCGCAGCCCTCAAGTGTTTTCAAGTAATGGTGGCTCTGCAGGTGTCCATTCCAGAGAAGAGCACCTGAAAAAGCGCTACCCACTCTGATCCTCGCACTGACACTCGGGTGCTAGGCGAGCTCCTCTTCAGCCCGTCTCTGACTTGTCCGCATGAAGAAGATGAGGCCATGCTGCCCCAGGGAAGCAGTGCAGATGAAATCACACAGAGGGCATGTGCCTGACATGGAGGAGCCCCCCAGCCTCGGCCAAGCTCTGGGTAGCAGTCTCCTTTGATGTCAGGTTCCTTTGAAGTTTCTAAGCAACCATCACCCTCCTGGATGGCAGGCTTTGAAACAGTACTGAATTAGAAAACACAAACAAACACCACAATTTACTATACAGTGCCCTCTGAATGCTAAAGACTGGGAAAAGGGCAGGTTCTCTTGGGAAATACCATAAACTTAAGGTCTCCCCGTGACACTGGCATTAGCATCTCTTCCCTCTTATCCTTTCCCTAGTCTCTTCCTCCTTTCCCACCTTCTACCCCCAACCCCACTGCCCTTTCTCCCTGTCTCTAATCCTTTGCCAGGATCTTGCTATGCAACCCAGGCTAGCTTTGAACTCACATTCTTCCTGCCTCAGTGTCCAGAATACTGGAATTACAGCTGCGTGCACACATGCCGGCTCCCTTTTCTATTTTCTACTGAGAAGAGCTGGGGCTGAGCTGTTATAATATGCTCTGCAAAGCAAATCATCTGGATATTCTTCACATGCTTAATCCATAAGAATTACAATGGAAAAATGGCCCATTTCCCATGCAAAGGCCTTCTCCCACTCAGACTCTCCCTCTCTCTGCTTTCTCTCCCTTCCCCTCCCCTCCCCTCCTTCCCACCTCCAGGTCATCCATGCCTTAGCAGAGCAACTGGGGAAAGATTATGACAGTAGGGATATTCACCTTCTCCCTTGCCTAGGGCCCACTCCACTGAGGGAGCTCAGCAGTGGCATCTATCTCCTCTGATGGGTCCCAGCTCAGAGCAGCACAGACACTCTGCTTGTGGGCATGAGGCCCTCTGGGCCCTCTGAATGGCCCAGACACGCAGTCAGTGTGAGGAAGCTGCTCTGCCTTCCTATCTTTAACTATCCCATCAGACATTGCAGAGCCAGGCAGAGCTCATGATTCTCTCTGCTTCTGCTTCTGGCTAGCTTGTCTCTCTACATCCAGCACTAGGATGACTCCGACAGACACTGCTCAACCCAAGCACTGGACCACGGAGGTCTTCTGAGACTTTTTAACAAAGACGTGGGTGAGTGAAATACAATGTGCATCTAAGAGAAAAATTAGATGCCCAAGGCGGGTTTTTAAGAGTGATAATGCTGAAGGCACTGATGAGAGAGACTCATATCCAGACGTGAAATGGAGCTCACTGGCCATGAAGGAGTGTCCCGAGAAAAGACAGAATCCTTCTGAAGAAAGACGCTTCGAGGAAAGGAAAACCCGTGGTGTCTCTAGTCCTTGAGTATGTTCTGTGCCTGGGCTTCCTAGCATGTCCATGATGACAAGTCTGGCTCTCCCAGGCTAATTCACCTGGCCGCAAAACACAGAAAGGTGCTGAAGTCAACCAGCTTCTACAGTGGTCTCTTCTATGTGAAGGAGAATTCACCTACTGATGTGAACAAGCAAAACATTTCCAAGACCTAGAAGTTTCCCTCACCTCCCTGAGGAGTCAACACACCTATTTCTGACTACTACTGATTAGTACTATTGATTAGTTTTGCTCCCTGTTTTAAGCTACACTCTGTTTTTTAAATGGTAGTTCTTATTTTAAGTTCCAAACTGAAGAAGAGATCTAAAAGAAAACCCAAGAACACGACCTATTCTATGCGTATATTTTTTACAATTAGAATAAAATTTCTAAAACTATTTAAAGAATGGATCAGATTTAGAGTGAACTAATGATGCTGGCGACTTAACCATTTGCTAGTCTAACGCTCACAAGACAATTACCAACGACAATGACTAATTGTCTTAGCTAAACTGTTGTGAGGTGTTGAAGCTTATTATTAAGCAGCTGCCACCATTGTCCCCAGAGGTGGCCGCATTTCAGAACTGGGCAAGGTGATGTTACATCTCCCTTCCCAAAGTCTCTCGGGTTTTGTGAGGTTTAATTAGTTAATGTTCACAATGTGCCCTGAGGCCATCAAATGTGACATGCTATCTCGGAAAAGTCAAGGCTGTGGTATTATGTGACACTCTACCGAAAACATAACCCCGGCGACAACTTTGTTATTTTATTGCTTCCACCACGTAAGCGGTGTCGGTGTCACTAACAGCAGATTATTCCAGCAGAGGGGGAGACACAATTTTCTATGGCGTTCTCTGGGTGATATTACTTATCTGAAGTGGCTTTACCACAGGCTAATTAAACTAGAGGTTCAAGTACCTCCCTGGTACAGGCCCCTCCCAAAGCACAGCGTCCAATGCTGCGTTCGTAATGATGACTACCTATAGAGAAGCTTCTATACGCTTTAGGTTCCACTAGCCGTTGGGTCCACCCTGCTGTTTCTAAGATGAATATTACACAGAGAATGCAACATAACATATTTTGAAGGCTTTTGAAAGAAATAGTATGTGCTTTTACATTCATTTTAAATAACTATCAAAAATCCTATAACTGTTTCTATACAAGGAAATAAGGCAACCCTTAAATAGTAAAGATGGAGAAAGAGTTGGTGAGCAATACTTTCAAAGGAATAGAAGAATAGCTCAAACTTCCTATAGTAAGACATTCTATAAAGCCAATCTTTAAAGCAGAGGATTGTTGAGGAATGAATAGAAAATAATGGACTAAAAATATACAGCCAGACATGAAATCCTGACTAGTGTTGATGATAATATTTCAAACTCGTAAAAAAGGAATAAGCTATACAGTACTGTTGACTAGCCATGTTAGTAAAAAGAAATTTTTAGCACCTATTTCCTAGTGGATCTCCAAATTAACTGTAGATAAAGATTACATTCCAGAGGTTTAAAAATCTGTTTGAAATGATTAGAAGGCTTGGAAGATTAGTTCCATGGCCTTGCAGGTGGAAAACCCTTCTTTAGGGTTGAGACGTTCATTCAGACTCCAGGTAGAAAGGACACAGGCTATTCTTCTAGACAATACCCCAAACTGAGAGTTAAAGACAAGAGAGCAGACACACGATGATAACCGTACCAACTGGCAACCAAATGGCTTCCCCAAATAAATTTCAGCTCAAATCAGAGATTACTACTACAAGCAAGAATTATTCCTAAAATAGCAATGATGAGAATATTGCAAATAGCTTATGAGACACAGGCAAGGCATTGCCACATGGAAGATTCGCAGCTCTAAGTGTGGAAAGAGAAACACCCCGATGATGCAGACATCTGGACAATAACGACCAACAGGAATTAGCACTATTTAGATGATCAGAGTGTCCTGCAGACACAGCTTCTTCGGCCCACACCTCTGAAGGCGATTCCATTTGGGGAGAAGACTGACAACCCCTATCCCCTGAAAGTGTGAGTTCAGCTATCACAGACCAGGAGTATCCCAGAGGCCCCCAGGAAAGGATTTGCTCTTTCATCTTACAGAAAGAGTTAAAAATTAATGAGAGAGAAGACAACGGCAGCTTAGAAGCAAGCAGCAACCACTTCCTTGTGTCTCTGTGGTTTGGAATCAACTGGAAAACAGCTTCTCAGCAAGGTGGGTGTTTGAGGGGACACATAAATAGTTATACAGAAAGTCTGGTTATCAGAAGACAGGACTAGCTGGAACCTGTTCACTTTGGGCAGGCGGCACAACCCATCTGCAGGGAGGAGTGACAGGAAGCGAAGGAGGAAGAGGCAGTGAGCAAAATGGGCACAGAAACGGAAGCACTACAGAAAGGCAGGCTGAGCTTAGCTGATCTGGGAGCTGCATGGCGTGCTGGCGCTGGAAAAGTACTCCGCATGCCCCAGGGTGACGGCACAGCGCTGTACGGGCAGGCAGCTTTGAGGTCATACTCAAGCTTGCTTCTCTGGATAACAGTTTTCTTCTCTTGTAACTCAAAGCCAATTTTGTCACAGTATCCAAGCCATCATCTACCATGTGGTCCAGCGACATGCCATCCAACCCCCACTGAAGCAATATCACAGAAACATACATGCAGCGGGATCCGGGTTGGAGACACAGTACAGAATCCAGATCTCTTTACCTTTAACACCAGAGGGTGTAAGCAGACTGTGCTTTTGTTTCCCAGCCGCTCATACTCAAATAATCACACAGAAACTATATTAACTACACTGTTTGGTCGATGGCTCAGGCATATTTCTAGCTAGCTCTTACATCATAAATTAAACCATTTCTATTAGTCTATTATTGCCACGTGGCCGTGACATTACCTCATTTTCTTTTTTTTTTATTTAAATTTATTTATTTATTAAGGATTTCTGCCTCGTCCCCACAACCGCTTCCCATTTCCCTCCCCCTCCCCCGATCCAGTCCCCCTCCCTCATCTGCTCGAAGAGCAATCAGGGTTCCCTGACCTGTGGGAAGCCCAAGGACTGCCCACCTCTATCCAGGTCTCATAAGGTGAGCATCCAAACTGCCTAGGCTCCCACAAAGCCAGTACGTGCAGTAGGATCATTTTCTACACATCTTGTTTCCATGGCTGCTTGCCGGCTGCTTGGCTCCGCCTACTTTCTCTCCACATCTCTGTTTGGATTTCCCTAGTGACTTTTCTCTGCTAAGCCATTGGCCAAAACAGTTTTATTTATCAACCAATAAAAGCAACAGATCTGTAAAAGGACACCCCACATCAGGAGGGTGTGATGGCCACTAAAGAGAGTCAGGACTGATGTGATACATGCAGTTATATCCAGGGACTGGCCTGGTTACCTAACTTAGGAAGGTAGGTTCAGCCACTCATCCTCAGTAAGCCAATAAGAGA